AAGATTATGGCAACAAGAATGACTGACAACTGGGAAATAGAGGGAGAAAATGTGGAGGCAGTAACAGACTTTGTATTTCTAGGCGCAAAGATGACTGCAGACGCAGACTGCAGCCAGGAAATCAGGAGACGCTTACTTCTTGGGAGGAGAGCAATGGCAAATCTTGATAAAATAGTGAAGAGTAGAGACATCACACTGGCAACGAAGTTAAAGCAATTGTATTCCCCGTAGTAATCTATGGATGTGAGAGCTGGACCATAAGGAAGGCTGAGCGAAGGAAGATAGATGCTTTTGAACTCTGGTGCTGGAGGAAAGTGCTGAGAGTGCCTTGGACAGCGAGAAGATCCAACCAGTCCATACTTCAAGAAATAAAGCCTGACTGCTCATTGGAGGGAAGAATAGTAGAGGCCAAGATGAAGTACTTTGGCCACATCATGAGAAGAAAGGAAAGCTTAGAGAAGACAATGATGCTGGGGAAAATGGAAGGAAAAAGGAAGAGTCGCACTGACCCCTGGTTCACCGAGGAGTTGGCTGTGATGAAGCGCTGGAGGAAGGGTCTAGAGTGCATCTGGAGGAAATCTCGTGATGTGTCTGACCAAGCACGGGCTAAAGCCACTATTAAGGCTCAGACCGTGGCTTTGTGAGCAGCCGAGAAAGCTTTCTCGACTGCCCGCATAGCGACTGCAGCAAACAGACCATCAGAGTTGTTCCGAGTTGTTGGGGAGCTCCTCCAGCCTCCTGAGGTGGTGGAGCTTCCTGACGACTCGGCAACTCGGTGCAGTGATTTTGCACACCATTTTGCAGGCAAAGTTGCCGGCTTGAAGAAGCATGAAAGAATTCATACTGGCGAGAAGCCTTATGAATGTTCTCAGTGTGGCAAGTGCTTCAATCGGAGATTTAACTTGAAGAAGCATGAAAGAATTCATACTGGCGAGAAGCCCTATGGGCACTGCAGCCTTGTTCCCATATACCAGTGGTTCCCAACCTATTTTTGACCAGGGACCACTTGAACAGGGCCTAATTTGCCCAAGGCACATTTTGACCGGGACCCACTTTGACCAGGACCTACTTGACCAGGGCTCCACTTTGACAAGGGTCCACTTGACCGGGGCCCATTTGACCAGGAACTACTTGACCAGGGCTCCACCTAGACCAGGGTCCACTTGACCAGGACCCACCTAGACCAGGGTCCATTTGACCAGGACCCACTTTGACCAAGAACTACTTGGCCAGGGATCCACTTGACAAGGGTCCACTTGACCAGGGACCACTTTATCCAGAGACCACTTTGACCAGGAACCACTTTAACCAGGGCCCATTTGTACCGGGGCCCACTTTGACCATGGCCAATTTGACCAGGACCCACTTTGACCAGGGCCCACTTGACCAGGACCCACATAGACCAGGACCCACTCTGACCAGGATCCACTCTGACCAGGGCCCACTTTGACCAGGGCCTACTTGACCAGGGGCCACTTGACCAGCACCCACTTAGACCAGGGTCCATTTGACCATGACCCACTTAGACCAGGGTCCATTTGACCATGAACCACTCTGACTAGGACACACTCTGACCAGGACACACTCTGACCAGGGCCCACTTTGACCAGGGCCCACTCTGACCAGGGCTCCATTTTGACCAGGGTCCACTTGACCAGAACCCACTTGACCAGGGTCCATTTGACCAGGACCCACTTTGACCAGGAACTACTGAACAGGCACTGAACAGGCTGCGCTCTGACACCACAAGATGCAGAGCCAACCTTAAGAAATGGGGCCACAAAGTGGAGTCCACGACATCCGAGTGTGGAGAAGAGCAAACCACAGACCAGGTATTACAATGCAGTCTGAACCCTGCCCCATGCACAATAGAAGACTTTCTTACAGCAATGCCACAGGCACTCCAGGTGGCCAGCTACTAGTCTACTCTGCCATTGCCCTGCGTTTGCTCACTCCTTCCTCCGTGTCCTTGCTCTGTAATGGCGGCTACACTTGACCAACTGTCAACCACCAACTGTCTTCCCTTCCCTTCCGATGGGCTGTCAATCACCCTCCCAGCATTCCATTCTCTCCCCAGCTGACCAAGAAATCTCCTACATGAAAAAAACACGCTTCCCATTGAAGCCCATGACATCACACATGGCAAGAAGGGAATGATATAATAAGTCAGATAGATATTGATCCTGCCCCTATAACCATTGGAGTGAAATTCCTACCTATCCTTTTTGTCCAGTCGGCATAAAAGAAAATGTTTACTAATCCTCATCTTTGGTAATGAATATCTCTTACTAATCCTATGCACACACAAGTTTTCAAAAATGATAAAAATCCCAAACTCTAAACCACTTACCACACAAAGGTTCCTGATACCTGGGCACATTTGGCATACTTAATCTCCTCTGTAGGGTCTATTTTGTACTATGCCAATAATATATTGTATGTATATACTAACTGTCCCCTGCCACGCATTGCTGTAGCCCAGTCTGTGTATGTGTGTTTTGTGTGTGTATATATGTGTGTGTGTATATATATTTGTGTATGTGTGTGTTTGCATGTTTATATATGTAGAAGGAAAAAGGAAGAGGGGCCGACCAAGGGCAAAATGGATGGATGGCATCCTTGAAGTGACTGGACTGACCTTGAAGGAGCTGGGGGTGGTGACGGCCGACAGGGAGCTCTGGCGTGGGCTGGTCCATGAGGTCATGAAGAGTCGGAGACAACTGAACGAATGAACAACATATGTGGTTTTGCGCATGCGTTGTAATGTATTTTTGTTTTCTGGATTTTAAAGTCTCTTCTGCTGTGTTTTTCAGTGTTTTTATAAGTTATTTATTTATCGTGTCACCAGCAACCAGACATTTGTAATACATTTTTGACAAAAGCAAACAAACAGACAAAACACAGAATTTGCAAGCTTGGTAGTTGATTAAATGTCCTTTGACCAGTAGCTGGCCACTTGGAGTGCCTCTGGTGTTACTATAAGAAGGTCCTCCATTGTGCATGTGGCAGGGCTCAGGTTGCATTGCAGCAGGTGGTCTGTAGTTTGCTCTTCTCCACACTCACATGTTGTGGATTCCACTTTGTGGCCCCATTTCTTGAGGTTGGCTCTGCATCTCGTGGTGCCAGAGCGCAGTCTGTTCAGCGCCTTCCAAGTCGCCCAGTCTTCTGTGTGCCCAGGGGGGAGTCTCTCATTTGGTATCAGCCATTGGTTCTGGGTTTGAGCCTGCCACTTTTGGACTCTCGCTTGCTGGGGTGTTCCAGTAAGTGTCTCTGTAGATCTTAGAAAACTATTTCTTGATTTAAGTCGTTGACGTGCTGGCTGATACCCACTGACGTGCTGGAGATATCACTGCTTTAGTCCTTTCACTATTGGTTGCTACTTCCCAGCTGATGTCAGGTGGTGCAATACCGGCTAGACAGTGTAATTTCTCCAGTGGTGTAGGGCGCAGACACCCCGTGATGATGCGGCATGTCTCATTAATATATTATTATATTATTATTATTATTATTATTATTATTATTATTATAACTTTATTTGTACCCCGCTAGCATCTCCCGAAGGATTCGATGCGGCTTACACAGGCCGAAGCCCCAAAACACAATACAACAATACAATACCTAAAGCAAATTAAAACAGTTAAGCAGAAAACAATAACAGTAACAATACAACAAGACACTATTAAAACTGGGCCGGCCGGAGTAGGGGTACAGGGTTAAAAGTGCTGATGTGGCAGGAGGGATGTGGGATTAAATATAAGTGTGGTGTGCAGTGTGCAGTGATCTTCGTTCTACTAAGGTGCTTCTAGGATTTGGTGCTGGAGGTTCCTAATCTGAAAAGGCACATCGGAACAGCCAGGTTTTCAATTCCTTCCTGAAGACTGCCAATGTGGGGGCTTGTCTGAGATCTTTCAGGAGGGCGTTCCAGAGTCGGGGGGCCACCACAGAAAAGGCCCTGTCTCGCATCCCCACCAAGCGCGCTTGCGACGCGGGTGGGATCACGAGCAGGGCCTCTCCAGGTGACCGGAGTGAGCGTGTGGGTTCGTAGACAGCGATACGGTCACGCTGCTAGAGCCACATCCACAGTTTAGCGTGGTGAGATGTGTTCCACACTGGGCATGCGTATTCAGCAGAGTAGAAAAGCGCAAGGGCATGGGATTGGGAAACAAATGGGATTTTGGTCCGCATCAATAGGAATCTAGTGTCTAGATCCAGGAAAGTCATGCTACTCCTCCATTCTGTCTTGGTTAGACCACACCTGGAATATTGTGTCCAGTTCTGGGCACCACAATTGAAAGGAGATGTTGACAAGCTGGAATGTGTCCAGAGGAGGACTAAAATGATCAAGGGTCTGGAGAACAAGCCCTATGAGGAGCGGCTTAAGGAGCTGGGCATTTTTAGCCTGAAGAAGAGAAGGCTGAGAGGAGACATGATAGCCATGTATAAATATGTGAGGGGAAGTCATAGGGAGAAGGGAGCAAACTTGTTTTTTGCTGCCTTGGAGACTAGAACACAGAACAATGGCTTCAAACTACAGGAAAGGAGATTCCACCTGAACATTAGGAAAAACTTCCTGACTGTGAGAGCTGTTCAGCAGTGGAACTCTCTGCCCCGGAGTGTGGTGGAGGCTCCTTCTTTGGAAGCTTTTAAACAGAGGCTGGATGGCCATCTGTCAGGGGTGATTTGAATGCAATATTCCTGCTTCTTGGCAGGGGGTTGGACTGGATGGTCCATGAGGTCTCTTCCAACTCTAAGATTCTATGATTCTATAAGGGCAGATGTCTTCACTGTGTCTGGTTGTGATCCCCAGGTTGTGCCACTCAGCTTTCGTATGATAGTGTTTCTGGAGCCCAGAAGCGACCAGATCATAGCAATGATAGCAATCAAAACAACACCCCCCTTCTCTCTCTCTCGCTCTCTCTGGAAGGGAAGAGGCTGCCACCGGGGGCAGCAGCGCCCTTGCGGCTCCGCCTGGCCAAGCTCCTCTTCCTCCTCCTTCCTGCCTTGTCTTTCCTTCCGGTGGAGTCCCTTCCCTCTTGCTGCTCAGCTGGGCATTGGAAGCTTCCTTCCTCGTGGGTGAGTCGCAGGCAGGAGGGGGAGAGGCCGGGGCAGGCAGGCAGGCGAGGCTGCAGCTGGCCCTCTTAGGCAGGGGAGGCTCAAGGCCTTGTGAAACTAGAACTCCCAAGGTCCCCTCGCCTGGAGCCAGGGCGCTGCACGTGGGGACAAAACAACCTTGGTCGGAGAGGGGGAAAGGCCCTTTTCCTGGCTTCCTCTTGAGGATTGTGCATGCATTTACAGCAGCCTTTCTCAACCTGGGGGTCGGGACCCCTGGGGAGGGGTCGCCAAAGACCATCAGGAAACACAGTCATTTGGTTCTTGTGGGTTTTTTCGGGCTATAGGGCCATGTTCTAGAGGCATTTCTCCTGACGTTTCGCCTGCATCTATGGCAAGCATCCTCAGAGGTAGTGAGGTCTGTTGGAACTAGGAAAATGGGTTTATATATCTGTGGAATGACCGGGGTGGGACAAAGGACTCTTGTCTGCTGGAGCTAGGTGCAAATGTTTCAACTGACCACCTTGATTAGCATATAATGGCCTGATAGTGCCCGGAGCAAACTTTTGTTGAGAGTGATTTCATGTGACTGTTTGTTTACCCTCTGTTGTTTTGCTGTTGTAATTTTAGAGTTTCTTAATACTGGTAGCCAGATTTTGTTCATTTTCATGGTCTCCTCCTTTCTGTTGAAATTGTCCACATGATTGTAACCATTGAAATCCACAAGCATATGGACAATTTCAACAGAAAGGAGACGACCATGAAAATGAACAAAATCTGGCTACCAGTATTAAAAAAACTCTAAAATTACAACAGCAAAACAGCAGAGAGGAAACAACCAGGCACATCTTAACACCTCTCAACAGAACATTTTCCCAGGCTCAGCCAGGCCTTCAAATGCTAATGAAGGCCTGGTCAGCTGAAACATTCACACCTAGCTTCAGCAGAGAGCTCTTTGCCCCACCCCAGTCATTCCACAGATATATAAACCCGTTTTCCTATTTCCAACAGACCTCACTACCTCTGAGGATGCTTGCCATAGATGCAGGCGAAACGTCAGGAGAAATGCCTCTAGAACATGGCCCTATAGCCCGAAAAAACCTACAAGAACCTAGTGATTCCAGCCATGAAAGCCTTCGACAATACAGTATTTTCTGTTGGTCTTGTGGGTTCTGTGTGGGAACTTTGTCCCAATTATATCGTTGGTGGAGTTCATAATGTTCTTTGATTGTAGGTGAACTATAAATCCCAGCAACTACAACTCCCAAATGTCAAGGTCTATTTTCTCCAAACTCCACTAGTGTTCACATTTGGCCATATTGAGTATCCCTGCCAAGATTGGTACAGATCCATCGTTGTTTGAGTCTAAAGTGCACTCTGGATGTAGGTGAACTACAACTCCAAAACTCAAGGTCAATGTCCACCAAACCCTTCCAGTATTTTCTTTTGATCATGGGAGTTCTGTGTGCCAAGTTTGGTTCAATTCCATCGTTGGTGGAGTTCAGAATGCTCTTTGATTGTAGGTGAACTATAAATCCCGGAACTACAACTCCCAAACAAATACCATCTCCCCACAACGCCACCAGTATTCAAATTTGGGCGCGTCTGGAATATTGTGTCCAATTCTGGGCACCACAATTGAAGAGAGATGTTGACAGGTTGGAATGTATCCAGAGGAGGGAGACTAAAATGATCAAGGGTCTGGAGAACAAGCCCTATGAGGAGCGGCTTAAAGAGCTGGGCATGTTTAGCCTGGAGAAGAGAAGGCTGAGAGGAGACATGATAGCCATGTATAAATATGTGAGAGGAAGTCACAGGGAGGAGGGAGCAAGCTTGTTTTCTGCTTCCCTGGAGACTAGGACGCGAACAATGGCTTCAAACTACAAGAAAGGAGATTCCATCTGAACATGAGGAAGAACTTCCTGACTGTGAGAGCCGTTCAGCAGTGGAACTCTCTGCCCCGGAGTGTGGTGGAGGCTCCTTCCTTGGATGCTTTTAAACAGAGGCTGGGTGGCCATCTGTCAGGGGTGATTTGAATGCAATATTCCTGCTTCTTGGCAGAATGGGGTTGGACTGGATGGTCCATGAGGTCTCTTCCAACTCTATGATTCTACAGTAATAGAAAAAACAAAAGTAATTTTATGCTTGTGGGGTCACTACAACATGAGGGACTGTATTAAGGGGTCACGGCATTAGGAATGTTGAGAAACATTGCTTTACAGGAAGATTGGTATCACCTTTCAATAGATTAGGGCAAAGTGTTTCAATGCTGTGGCCTCTTTCATTATATTTAACAACTAGCTTGGGGACCCGACGCTGCCCGGGTTATTAGAGAAAGTGGATAATGGCGGTTCTGTATGCCTAGTTTGGTCTTTATGGTCATTGGATGATGGTTGCATTGTTTTTAGGAAGTGAATGAAGGTACTTGAAGTCCCATCATCCATGGTCCATCCCTGGCCAAACCACACCAGGGCGTAAAGTGGGTCATGAGAGATCTATGTGCCAAGTTTGGTCCTGATCAGTCATTGGATGAGGTCAACAGCGGTCCCAGAGAGTGAGTGAAAGTACTGCAAGTCCCATCATCCATAGTCCGTTCTTCCCCCAAAACTTCACCAGAATGTTGAGTTGGCCAAGGGGACGATCTGTGCCAAGTTTGGTCTTTCTTGGTATTTGGATAAGTGTTGCTGTCATTTCAGGAAGTGAGTGAAGGTACTGCAAGTCCCATCATCCATGGTCCGTCCTCCTCCAAACTGCAGGATGTAGAGTGGGTCATGGGGGCTCTGTGTGCCAAGTTTGGTCTTTATCGGTAATTGGATGAGGGTTGCAGTGGTCTCAAGAATTGAGCAAAGGTACTGCAAGTCCCATAATCCATGGTCCATCCCCGCCAAACCACACCAGGCGTAAAGTGGGTCATGAGAGGTCTATGTGCCAAGTTTGGTCCTGATCAGTCATTGGATGAGGTTCACAGCGGTCTCAGAAAGTGAGTGATAGGACTGCAAGTCCCATCATCCATGGTCCATACTCTTCCAAAGTGCAGTAGGATGTAGAGTGGGTCATGGGGGCTCTGTGTGCCAAGTTTGGTCTTTATTGGTAATTGGATTAATGTTGCTGTGGTCTCAGGAAGTGAGTGAAGGTCCTGCAAATCCCATCATCCATGATCTATCCTCCTGCAAACAGCACCAGGATGTAGAGTGGGTCTTGTGGGCTCTGTGTGCCAAGTTTGGTCCTGATCAGTCATCAGATGAGGTTCACAGAGGTCTCAGAAAGTGTGTGATGGTACTGCTAGTCCCATCATCCATTGTCCATCTTCCTCCAAACGGCAGTAGGATGTAGAGTGGGTCATGGGGGCTCTGTGTGCCAAGTTTGGTCTTTCTTGGTATTTGGCTAAGTGTCGCCGCGATTTCAGGAAGTGAGTGAAGGTACTGCAAGTCCCATCATCCATCATCCGTCCTCCTCCAAACAGCATCGGGATGTAGAGTGGGTCATGGGGGCTCTGTGTGCCAAGTTTGGTCTTGATCGGACATTAGATGAGGGTTGCAGCAGTCTTGGGAAGAGAGTGGAGGTACTTGAAATCCCATTATCCATGGTCTGTCCTCCTCGAAAGTGCACCAGGATGTAGAGTGGGTCATGGGGACTCTGTGTGCCAAGTTTGGTCTTGATCAGTCATTGGAGAAGGTCTCGGTGATCTCAGGAAGTGAGTGATGTGACTGCAAGTCCCATCATCCATCTCCAAATTCTTCCAATCAGCACCAGGATGTAGAGTGGGTCATGGGGGTTCTTTGTGTGAATTGTGGTCCCAGAATCATAGAATCATAGAATCCTAGAGCTGGAAGAGACCTCATGGGCCATCCAGTCCAACCTCCTGCCAAGAAGCAGGAAAGCAGCACAATTCAAAGTGCTGGTGTTAACCTATAAACGACTCCGGCCCTGTTTACCTCTCTGAACGTATTCTCCCCTACGAACCATCAAGACCACTAAGATCGTCTGGAGGGGCCCTGCTCTCGGTCCCTCCACCTTCACAGGCACGGCTGGTGGGGACGAGGGACAGGGCCTTCTCGATGGTGGCCCCTCGACTTTGGAACTCCCTGCCATTAGAGATCAGAACTGCCCCCTCCCTCATGACGTTTAGGAAACTAACAAAGACGAGTATGCTACTGCATTTGTATTCTACTATATTCCTTTCCATTGGGTGACAACTTGGCCATTGTGTGAACAGAGTGCTGTTCACCCCGACAGATGGCCATCCAGCATCTGTTTAAAAGCTTCCAAAGAAGGAGCCTCCACCACGCTCCGTGGCAGAGAGTTCCACTGCTGAACGGCTCTCACAGTCAGGAAGTTCTTCCTCATGTTCAGATGTTAGGATACCTTGTATTTATTTTGCCGTGCTATTTATTAGAAATGTATTAGAAAACTACAACTCCCACCATCACCTGTCATTGCCTCCAAACTGCATTAGGAGTTAAGAGTAGATCATGATGGGTTTGTGTGCCAAGTTTGGTTCAGGTCCTTGATTTGTGAGGTTCATGATGCACTTTGCAAATGGGTGAACTATAACTCCCATCATCCAGGGTCAAATCCCCTACCAAACCCCTTCAGTACTTTTTGTAGGTCATGGCGGCGGGGGGGGGGGGGGGGGGGGTGTTGTTTGCCACATTTGGTCCAGACCCATAGTCAGTGGTGTTCATAGTGGTTTCTGGCGGTGGGTGTGAACTATAACTCCCATCATCCACTGTAAGACCCTCCCAAGCCCACTAGTCGGGGGAGTCAGGTGTCCACTCCCTCTAACAAAGCCACTTCCAAGTCACTGAAGAACGGAGTGATCAATGGAGGAGGCACTAGATCAGTGGTTCTCAACCTTCCTAATGCCACGACCCCTTGATACAGTTTCTGATGCCATGGTGACCCCCAACCATAACATTATTTTCATTGCTACTACATAACTATAATTTTGCTACTGTTATGAATAGTAATTTATTATTATTTATTTAAAAGTTTTATATACCGACCTTCTCACCTCTCTTGAG